TAGGGTGAGCTCCTGCTTTTAGGCCAAGGTTCTGCCAACCTAGCAGTTCAAAAACATGCAAATGTAAGTAGATCAATAGGTACTGCCTTGGCGGGAAGGTAACAGTGCTCCATGTAGTCATGCTGGCCACATGGCCTTGGAGGCATCTACGGACAACACCAGCTCTTCGGCTTAGAAATTGAGATGAGCACCACCCCCCAGAGTTGGACATGACTAGACTTAATGTCAAGGGGAAACCTTTACCTTTTACTATACTATAACTTTATGTATGTTGGGACATTTTAGTGAAAAAATCAAGCCAAAAAACCCTGGATAGACTTATTAATGTCTCAATGTAAGAACTGTACCATCTATTTCTCTGAGCATAGTGGCGAAAGGCAAGAGCATAGTCCATTCCTGGAGAGCCTCAAAGAAAAAATGGCTCTCTCTCCACTGCAGCAACATTTCTGGTCTTCTTGAATTCCTAAGTTCCATAGGATGGCATTGATACTTTCCCTTCTCCATGGAATTACCCTCAACTTATCCATGGGTCATGTCAAAATCCATAATTTTGGTCCCAAAACAAGCCTTAGACTTATGCACAAGCTTGACTTATGCACGGATATATACAGTCGTCACAAGAAAAATGATGTGCAGATTTGATAAGCGTGGATTGGATATGTGTGGGTTTGAATGGAATTGAATGAAAGATGAATGGATGGAGTTACTCATTTTGGAGACACTATTCTGAAGACGAGGCCTGAAATTATTAACTACCTGCTTGCTGGGCTGTAATTAAAGGTTGCTAATGAGAACTGAAATGTGATAAGAACCATGACGTGATAAGATAAATATTTACATCTGTCAACATTTGCTGACCAAACACAATGTTCATTACCTGAAGATCAACATCTATGTCAAGAGGTAAAGACTCAAGATACTTTAAAACAGGGCAATTATTTACTACATCTGCAGAATATTCCTATAAAAAAACTCAATCTAATAATTCTCAAAGTGTGGCAGACCAAAGGAGTCTGGTACCTGCCATGCTCTTTGGAAAGAGATGGTGTACGTATGGAGAGTGTCAGATCTGCTATGGGAAAGCAGGATTTTGTACACTTTGCATTTCTTTCTCAAGAGAAGACGCAGGAGTGTAATTTTGGAGTCTTAGATTTTTGTGCAGGAAGTCAGGTTCTGCTGTATGGAAAACAGAGATCTGGTCCTTGGCATTGTTCTTAGGGAGAGAAGTTTTGGCATTTTGGCACTAAGGACGTTTTGGAACTGTGTATTGGCAGGCTGCAGGGAAGCAGGTTCTTGTTGTGACTCAGCTGGAACCACAGACACAGACAGTGCTGTGACTCAGATGGGGTCTGAGAGTGACTCTGACGAGGATGATGGGATCCAGGTTCACAATCAGGTTCAAATTGTTCCTGTTGTAGACAATGAGGAACAGGGTGTGCAAGTTCAGTTTCCCACAGCAGGGAATGATGTTTTTGATACTGAAAGTAGCCAGGTGCAAACTGACTCAGAAAAGGAGGACAGTTCTCAGCCTGATAGTAGGCAGGAAGGCAACCAGGCTGACACTAATGAGCAGCCTGTCCTTGATGAAATGGGAATCTTAGATTGGGCTGACCGTTTGGAATTCAGAGTTTGAAGGAGTGTGAGAATAGCCAACAAGAAGGAGGTCAGAGGCCAAAGAAATGCTTTCATGTATTGCAAAGGGTATTATTAAGCAGTGTGTTTGGAAACAAACTTTGTCAGAGCAACTTCTCGCTCAAACAAGCAGCTTGTGCTCGTTTTCTTGTGTCCATGGTCTTGGGATTTTGTCATGTTCTCATGGGACTTTGTTTCGTTGGTGCCATTTGGAATTCTGCTGTAGAGTGCTATGTTTTATTGATCTGTGGAGCACTACTTGCTTTTTAAACTTTTCATCTTTTACTTTTTAATAAACTACAAAGACTTCAGTCTGTGTGCAGTTCTGGTGATTTCAGCAAGGTGAATCTATTCTGAGGTGCGACAGTTCTAACCTAACATATATTCTTCTCCAAGGAGGGAGAAAAGGAAATGGTAATATTTGGATGCATGAGCATAGATGAATGTTTATGTGTGCATAAAAATATAATTCCCCTTTGTTTGTTTGTTAGCCAATGTAACTGTAGGTTGTTTGTAAATCTAATGTCGTTACATAGAATCTCTATGTCTATATGTCCAATGTCATTCTTTCTGTAAAAGCTCTGTAGAAGTGTTGATATACCCTCTCACTCTAAAAATTACAATAAAAGAATCTTTGTTTAAAAAGTATTCACGACATGGTACATAGATACAGACAATAACTTTCCATGAAGATTCCAATGCAGAAAGCACCATTTAGATCCAGTCAAATGATCTTGAAGAAGTCATGATGGACCCACAAGGTCACTTACCCAGGTTGGAAAAAAGAGAGTTCCCATCTTGCTGTATGCAGATGATACAGCCATACTATCCAGACCCAGACCAGGGTTCTTACACTAAATCAGGGATTTTACCGAATATTGTGAAACAAATGAGCTAAATATAAATTTCAGAAAATCAAAAGTTTTTGAAAGTAAATTGACAAAATGTAAATGGTCTAGTGACAAATTATCTTGAGAGCAGGTTAGAAGCTTCCAGTATTTGGACCTTATCTTCCACCACATCTTATCCTGGAAAGAGCACTCCGAAATAGCAATTCAAAAGGCAAAGGCCTGCTGAGCAACTATAATAAGGTTCTATTACACCAAAGGAGGACAATATGTCCCCTCCCCACTAAAAATCTTTAATGTCAAAACAGCCTCCAAACTCCTCTTTGATACAGCTATTTGGTGTGAAAATTCGATTGTAAACTTAGATAGAGTCCAAGCAAGGCTTATTAGAAATGTTCTCAATATGCTTTCTTGTGTACCTAGCATTAGAAATGGGTGAATGCCCACTGAGTACAAGAGCCTGGATTTTGAAAATGAACCTTTGATTAAAAAATGGTATTCAAACTGGGAACAGGTTTACTATATCACCTCCCTTATGAAGCCTCCAAACCATTCTGGGCAAGGAGGATTGAACGAAAAGTTGTTTCAATTAGACTATCTGCATTCCTTTTGCTCCATTTGGAATTTAAAATGGCACAAGAATCCCTAATGCAATAGTTGCGGGATATTGCCCTGGGAGAGTTAAGAGCCTGTTTAAATTCACCATGCTCCCCCAGAGTCCTAAATTTACCACACAGAGAGCCATTTAAGACATGCAAATACCTAAAAAAATATCACAGTGATCTAACACCTTAGATTCTTTACAAAGGCGAGACTAAAAATATTTTCCTCAGGCAGACTATCTAGAATCCCTTACTCCCAAAGACTATGCCCCTGTGAAGGAAATGAAGTAGAAACAATAGAACACATTTTATTGCAGTGCTTCTATTATACAGTGCAATGGAGCCAACTTCTATATCTAATTTTGTCTCATATGACCAGCCATCCCCGACAGGGACTTGTTAGATATCTTTTACAGGATAAATGCCCCAGGGTGACTCTCACAGTGGCAAAATTCCTCGCAGTGGCAACAAGGCAGAGAAAGAAACAAACCTTTGAATACCATTCAGATGTAACTGGTATTTGGTAGAATGAACTTCTCCTGAGATGGGAAATTTATAAAAAAAAAGTCTGTTTCACGGATGGGTCTATAGACCGTAATAAATATTGTTGTTGTTGTTGTTGTTGTTAGATCCTGTTATTTGTTAACTACAGCATAAACTGTCAAGATAAGGTGACGGAGAGGCTTGGGGTAAAGTATATTGGACCCCTGAGACCTATAATACAAAACCGTTTCAGCAGCTTCGGGTGTAAACAAGGACAACTGGATAGGATGCTTTCATTGCACTTTTCTGAACAATGTTTAATGAGGACATTAAAGCAAGGTGTCTAAAAATGCTAAATTATCACCCAATTATCCCAAGCATTACCTTCAAATCTCTGTTTGGAAAATTGCCATGTAGACTCATGTATAAGTCTAGCTCAAACATAAAAAACATGAGTCAGCGTATCCATGGGTTAATGTGTAAACTGTAGATTAACTTGTGTGTATGTATGTGTATGTATGTGTGTGTATATATATATATATATATAAAAGGAATCACCTCCTCCTCTGAGTGGCAGGAGGCGATTTTCAGAGATTTTATTTTATACATGAGATTGACTTATACAGGCCATCCCCAAGTTACGACAAAGATAAGTTCTGTAGGTTTGTTCTTAAGTTGAATTAGTATGTAAGTTTAAAAAGCACGAGGGTCTTCCTCCAGCAGCAAACCAAGAATGGGCAACTTGGAAGACCCTGAATAGACTCAGAAGTGGAGTGGGCAGATCAAAAGACAACCCGGCAAAATGGCACTACCTAAAAGAATCCCACACCTTGTGTGACTGTGGAGCAGAACAGACAACTCCGCATCTGTATGCTTGTCCGCTATGCCCTGCCTCATGGACAGAGGAAGAATTGTTGGAGGCTACAGACAATGCCATTGCTGTTGCCTGTTTTTGGTCAAAAGATATTTAGCCACCTCCGCTCCTTCTATTATAATAATTTATGCAATGCTTTTGATACAAAATAAATAAATAAATAATGTAAGTTGGAACAGATGCATTTTTAAGTGTAACTCCAACCAAATATATATAATTATTAGCTTTGAATAACATAGCAAAGGGTTAACACCCCTGTAGTGTATGTTTTGCTGTCTGTGCTCCTGTTCAGAAAATTTCACCTCACTTTCCGTTTCTGGGAGAATTGAATTTTGAAAAATTTAGCTTGTGGAAACAAAGATTGGTGATAAACCTTCAGCTTCCCCACGATAGTAACTCTTCCAAGAGTAAATTTCCCTTCCTGGGGGTAGATTTCTCTCACCTCCAGTTGTCTCACCCCTGTTCTTAACTATGAGTCATTTTAAGTCGGATGTTTGTAACTCAAAGATTGCTGCACATGACTATATACAATATATGCATTGGCTGATGATTCATACTTACCATCTAATTCTTCTACTGAGATGTTGGCCAATGTCTCACTGTCACTGCCTGCCGAAATGGAACGGTTCAGGTAGTTCCCCTTATACAACAGTCCAGCTGTGACATGATGGAATGGCATCTTCTCCCTAAAAGAAGAAAGACAACAGTGTGAAATGTCATGCCTGGTCCTCCAAAAGGAATTTAAAAGCAAAAAAGCCTATTTTATAGTAAAATTTTATTTGAGGAAGATAAAACATAACATTCTGGCTCCATAGATAGATAGTCACGAGAGATAAACAGATAGATAGATGTGTGGTGGGGTCTCCTGGAGTCAGAGGCAGCCCTAGGTAATTTTCAACGGTAAGCAAACAGTATTTTAGTGCCTTCCCCCCCCCCCCCAACCAATCATTGATATATATTTTCTGTTTGTCGTGGGAGTTCTGTGTGCCATATTTGGTTCAATTCCATCATTGGTGGAGTTCAGAATGCTCTTTGATTGTAGGTGAACTATACATCCCAGTAACTACACCTGCCGCACTTGCTCCCTTGCCTGGCCCGCTTTGGGTCCGGAGGCATGCCTGAAGACCTCGGCGTGTGCACCAAAAGTCACCTCTTCTCCTGACTTTCTCCTCAGCCATTGGGACCAAGAGAGAGAGAGAGAGAGGTGGAGATGCCCACCTTTCCTTAAGGTAGGCGCAAAAACAAAGGAGGGAGATACCTCCAGCTCCTCAAGTGGCAGTCGAGGGGCATTTACAGAGGCGCCTCTGCACCCCTGGCAAAAAAAGTGTTCTGCGACCGTTTACTTCGCGTAATGGACGAGCCACCCCTGCCTGGAGTCTTAATTCAACTCCAATTCATGATTTAAAGCAGCGTTTCTCAACCTGGGGGGTGGAACCCCAGTGGGGGTTGCAAGGGGGTTTCAGGGGGTCACCCAAGACCATCAGAAAAATGTTTTTAATGGTCTTAGGAACCCCTTTGGCAGAGAAGGATGAAGATCGCTTCACCTGTCCATCTCTTCTTTATTGGAAACAGATAGTGAATCCTCCCACCAAAGGCCCTCCCCCACTGCGATTGGCCGGCCTCTCAGCCAAGGGAAGGGCTGCTTCTGAGAGTCCAAGCAGGAAGGGGAGAGCAGGCATGCTCCATGCATGGCAGCATGGTGCACATGTGCGGGCGATGGAGAGCATGCGAGGCTGGAGGGAGGCTCACACTAGCAAGTCCCTTCAAGGCATGGGCGTTCTGTGTGGAAAGTTTGGCCCAATTCTGTCGTTGCTGTGGTTTAGAATGCTCTTTGATTGTAGTGAACTATAAATCCCAGCAACTACAACTCCCAAATGTCAGGGTCTATTTCCCTCAAACTCCAACTAGTGAGTATTCATGCCTAGTTTGGTTCAGATCTATTATTGTTTGAGTCCACAGTGCTCTCTGGATGTAGGTGAACTACAACTCCAAAACTCAAGATCAATGCCCACCAAACCCTTCCAATATTGTCTGTAGGTCATGAGAAGTTCTGTGTGCCAAGTTTCAATTCCATCGTTGGTGGAGTTCAGAATGCTCTTTGATTGCAGGTGAACTGTAAATCCCAGTAACTACAACTCCCAAAAGACAAAATCAATCCCCAACTCCAACAGTATTCAAATTTGGGCTTTTTGGGTATTTGTGCCAAATTTGGTCCAGTGAATGAAAATACATCCTGCATATCAGATATTTACATTGTGATTCATAACAGTAGCAAAATTACAATTATGGTGTAGCAACAAAAATAATTTTATGGTTGGGGGTCGCCACAACATGAGGAACTGTATCACTGATTTAAAGAGAAACACTAATACAAGACCATCAATTTCAGAGCCAAAAAAATACATCGCTGTGTCATAGCATATGAATAACTTGTGAGTTCTTCTCCTGCAGTTATGTACATAAATCATAAGTTTTAATATTTGATTATAGTTTGAAGCTGGCTTTTCCCCCTCCATTTGTGCATTACAACATTGCAGCAGAGAGCTTGTCCTGGGCCCTTCTCCAGCTCATCATCTGCCTCTGCCAGTTCAATCACTTTGCATCCCATTCTATCGCAATGGCTCTTCTCATGTGCCAACAACGTATGCATCAAACAGACACAGCTTTTTGTCAATTCTGACGTAATTTGTTAATTTTTATCCAGCTTGTTTGTCAGCTGAACCATGTGTTCCAGAGAGTTGTTATCTCGCTATTTTGCCAATTTAAATACTTCCAATGTTAGCCTACCACAAGAAATGTTGCTGTGGACACTCCTGGTTAGTAGGGTTGTGCACAGATACCATTTCCTTCAGTACCTCCGGCACCTTTGGGAGCTCGTAATGGGAAGTGGGTCCCCAGTACAAAAGCCTGCTTAATATGAAAGTAAGCAGGAGCCAATCACTGTTCAGCAGTGGAACTCTCTGCCCCGAGTGTGGTGGAGGCTCCTTCTTTGGAAGCTTTTAAACAGAGGCTGGATGGCCATCTGTCGGGAGTGCTTTGAATATAATTTTCCTGCTTCTTGGCAGGGGGTTGGACTGGATAGCCCATGAGGTCTCTTCCAGCTCTAGGATTTTATGATTCTATGATTTTGCGAGCCCTGCCTGTATACTTTCTTGAAACCCAGGTCTCCTCTGCAGACTGAGGGGAAAGTATCGCAGGAAGAGTGGTATCTTAATCCCTTTATTGAAACCCAGGTGTTGTATTTCAGAGCAGGAACATCTCCATTCTTAAACACCATACCAGCTTTGCCAAATCAGAAAGCTGTTTATTGAAGAATATATGTAAGCAAAGTGGTAAGAATGGTAAAAAAAGTATAGTCCAAATATAAAAGATAGTCCATGAGCTTCAAGGTACAAAGGTAAAACACAAGATCCAAGGGTACAAAATCTATAGAACAAGGCAGCATGGAAATCCACAGATCACGAGACTGGCAAAACTTGGAACATGAAACTAGGAACACTTGGAAACAAGACCGTCATGAAATTCCAACGTTGACAAGACTGAGCTAACTCTTTTCCTTGTATCAATATAAAGCTTTTCCTGACCCCAGAACCAAAAGGAAAGCATTTCTCTTACCCTTACAACCAGATAAGGATTTCTTATCTCTCTTTTCCTGCAGACAAATTGACCTTCATTGCGCCTGAGAACTTTGTCTCTGTTTACAAAAGTCTAGCTTTCTATTTTCACTCTCATTAAATTCTGCACCTGACAAATCATCCACAGAAGACAGTTTCTCAGAGAAAGACTGTTGAGGGCCTCTCCCAGGAATGTGGGTTTGTGAATCTGAAGGAGAAACACTCCATTCATGAGACACCTCAGGCCTCTCACCTGGGCTTAACTCAGGCACAGAACAACCTTCATCCCCACTAACATAATGAACAACAGACACAATCACGGGCTGAACTACAACACCAGGTCTCCTCTGCTGACTGAGGGGAAAGCATCACAGGAAGAGTGGTATCTTAAGCCCTTTCTTGAAACCTAGGTCTCCTCTGTAGACCAAGGGGAAAGGATCACAGGAAGAGTGGTATCTTAAGCCCTTTATTAAAAGCTAGGTCTCCTCTGCAGACCATGGAGAAAGCATTGCAGAAAGAGTGGTATCTTAAGTAACTCGTAATTAAGGATATAAGGATAAACGATGCTATTTCCTAAAATGATGGGAAGGGGAGAGGAATTCCCCCCTTCCCATTGCCACCAATGGACTGAAAATAGCCGTTTTTTGGGCTGAGGAACAAAAATGCCCTTTCAGAACGACACTTGTTTTCTGAAGGTGCCTGAAAAATGATATGGAGGGCTTCCAATATCCAGCAAGCAGAAACAGATCGGAATTCACCTGAAATGCCTACTGGTTAGAAGCTAAGAAAAACTGTAGGCTGCTCCATTGTCTCAAACCTTTCCCATTCACAACCACTATTCAACTGAGAATGTTTTACTGAGTAATGATGTATATTTCCTTCTAACAAAGATTTCAATCCATCTTGCTTGTATTCTAGGTTCATGAAAGGAAATGTCAACCAAAAATTATGTCCATATACCTCCTCCCCTCCGAGAAAATCATCTCTCCCCTTCCCCAAAGGAACTGTGTGTGTTAAGACCTCATTTTCCTGCTCGCTAAATTTTGCATTTTGACTTCCATCTGTTCAAAGCCTCTTCCCATGAGATTCTCTCCTTGAGTGCGGATAGAAAAAAAAAACCCTGCAAAATTTAGCTTTGAATTCTGCAACTTGCCAAGCCTGGTCTTCCCAATTTCCACCTTCGAAGACCTTGCAGTCTTCCTGATCGAAACTTTCCCTTCTTGGTGCAAGAATACTGGGGTAACCTTTAGTGCTTCGATCCGCTACGCAATCCCGAAGTGACAAAAAAAGCAAGAACAAAACCTTTGCTGACTTTACGCCTTCCTTATTGTCCTCAGAAGACCTTATCAGCAAATGCAGAAGCTCATCCTGACATCAGTGCTCTTGGAAAGAAGCATCTTGCCAAAACGGTCCCAAACACACTTGCCATAGGATGCGGTCTTCCAAAATAGCCGGCAGCCAGAAAAACTATGACCGAACTTCGATCCGATTGGTTAGTAGAGGAGAGATGAAGTGTGCAATATTTCACACCTTAACAACAACAGTAGTGTATAGGAGCAAGAAAGTAGACAAATATGAAAGCAACGGGGAAGAGGATGCTCAAAGAAGAAACAGTGTCTAAGCCAGTGGTTCCTAACCTGTGGTCCATGGACCACCAGTGGTCTGCAAGAACGAAAATATGGTCCATGGCCTCACCATTACTACACCATTGCCTCGAAACCACATGGCAACAAGAGCGACTGGTCTCGCAAAACCCTCTTATAGTGCCAAGGCAACGAGGATGTTGGGAGGGGAGAGACAGACAGTACATAAACAGAGGCAAAGGCTTCCCATCTTTTTTCACTTCTGGAATCTGGAGACTGTGCTCAACTCTGACCCCAGGAGGTGCTGTTGTTCTATTTTCCATGCCAAAGACAACAAGCTCTGTGCATGTCGTCATGAGTGTCTTTTTACCTCCCCACCAAAGCTATACCTATTGATCTGCTCACATTATTATTTTTGACCTGCTAAGTTGGCAGAAGCTAGGGCTGACAGCAGGAGCTTACCCCAACCCACAGCTTGAACTGCCAGCT